ATCATTTAAATCCCTAATGGTTTTTACCATAGAAAAATATCCGCTGATTTTCTGGATTAGACCGTTCACAAAATCACAAAAGCTGTATATCCTTAACTCCAATTTTAGCATCGAATTACAAAATTCTTAAAATTCCTTCGTTCTTTTCTTTTGTTCCTTCCTGTAAAAACAGCTGTTTTCTAGGAGTAAATTAAAGCAACAACATTAATATCCTAATAATTCTTTACTTCGATAGTCCGCCAATATTTTCCTAGTCTTCGAAGCCCAAGCTTTTTCAGATTTTCGTGACTTTAGTAGAATCTAGCTCATCTATAAGTTGGTGCTGTGGAGTAGTAGAATGGTAACTTCGATCGGCTTATTGTGTGGAGTTCGATTCGGTTTGGCCATTACACCAAATGTATTATTTGGTGCAATGGAATGTAGTACCTCGGGTCAGTCTTCGATACAGAATAAGTACTAATGCGAAGTAAAACAGTCTCAAGCTTGGGTATAACTGTTTGTAGGAATTACAACAGTGCACAATATGCACGATTTGATGATTGCTAGTTGAGCTAATGGGCACGAGCCAACTTGAAATAAGGATAAGTGAGACAGTTGAAGTTGAAGGAAGCTCGGCAAAACAATGGAACACTGGAGCTGGGACACTGGGTGGGTGTGACACAGGAATGCCGAGATATTGGAACACTGTAGGACTGAAACACAGGCACTAACTTAATGGGTAGTAGTGGTCTCTATTTTCTTTTTGTAGATGGGTTGACCTTCTATAGAGGGAACTAGAGACAGTGCTCAGAGAGAGGTTCTAAAAGTTTCTCAGCCAAAACAATCTAGTAGAAATACTTGCACAGTAGATTCGTGAAAGCTATACAGTAGCTTGTACAGAAAGTGGATGAGACAGCGATGCAGTGGCTAATACAAAAAAGTTTATTGGAACGGCAAAGTCTGGAAAGTAGACGCAGCCAACAGCTGCTCATTTAATTCCCGAACTGTCGGACAAAAAAAGAGCGTTTTATACAAGAAGTTACAGAATCCCTTTCCAGCCATCTGCGATGCAGATGCATGAGATGGTCGTTGAGACACAAGTTACAGAAGGTACAAGGATAAATGTATGGTGATTACAAGTAAACAGTTAATATGGCAAACTTACGATGATATGGAAATAGGAACTATTTAGGGAATAATTTCAACTTTTTATTTGTTGCCTACTCATTTTAATAGCAGGGTATGCTGCGAAATATAACTCGTATGTAATGCTGAGATATTTGCAAAACTCTAGACCGCAGGTGTATGCGGTGGGGAACGAACACGCGCTGTTGTCCTTACCGGGGAGCAGCGCACTTCACCACCACACCATCCGGGTCCTTCGTTTTGCCTGTCTCTCAGCTAGTTCTATCGATCTATCGGACCCGGATGGTGTGGTGGTGAAGTGCGTTGCTCCCCGGTAAGGACAACAGCGCGTGTTCGTTCCTCACCGCATACACCTGCGGTCCGCAGTTTTGTAAATATCTCATCATTACATACGAATAGTTACTATATTTCAACAAAGTTGTTGTTTAGGATTGAACTTGGACTTGAATACATGGATTGCTTATCATCGTGAGTTATGAAGCGGTCTCCAGTAAAATTTTCGTTACTTTCTTCTACTATCGTCCGTGATAGCGATATGTTTTGAGTCTTGTAAAGTTCTGGACTGTCATCTAAAGGGGCAGTGGGAAGCACATTGGCCAAAGATGTTGTCCAATATGTGCGCAGTCGTTGGTTCGAACCTAATCTCGGTCAACCAAGCTCTTCATCTCAGGAGTCGAGGAATTTTCAATGTACTTTCTTAGGAAACGCTTCCTCCGATCCGCAAAGAATGCCGATTGCCTCTGCGGTAAAGACGTGAAATCAGTCTATTGAAGTTTTTCTCTCTAGGAATTGACTCCACCCGCATTCAACGGCGTTCATGTGGAAGACAAAGTCCTACAGTGGTGGACGAATACCACTCGTAAATCCGGACATGTTCACCGATGCAGTACATCTTACAACTAGGCGAATGAAAGAAATGCTAGTGTCCTTACAATATGTGAAGTTGGATTATGACAACAAGTAAATAAATATTCAACTTATCAGTGACAACGATCCGCGAGCCCTCACCAAGCCTTCCATTCCTCCGAGTCGCAAACTGGTACCAGACTTGTCTAGAACATAGCAGCACTGGCTCGATACATCGGTAAACCACTGCGAGTCATTGTAAAGGTCAGGTATGCGTTCGATTACCTCCAAACGATGCTTAATGAAGTCTATTGCATAGCGCATCCTTCAGGGCTTGATCAACGTCGAGAGCTTTATCGTTTTAAGCAGTGATATCTTCTTTAAAAGCAAAGATTTGTCGCTTGCTCCAATTTTTAAAGGAACTGAAATTTCTTCTCCCTCATTCTCGAAGAGCTCGCTGTGGTTGAGAGCGCACGATACAACTTCATAGCCATAGCAACCAGTAGCACCAAGCTATTTATGAGTTCCAGAATGGTGTGAGAAGATGTGACCGTGTATGGAATGGGTCACCACAATGAGCGATGGTCGCTCAGCGAACAGAGTATTTGTAAGCGTGCTGCATCCTGTAAGTTTTGTGTAAAAGAATCGTCCAAGTACCCAGACTGTTTTGCCTTCGGGTAAAATGACTTGTACTCATCTGTTTGAAAACTACCTATTTCTAAATAGGCTACAAGTTTATACTTCACTCACCAAAATCATTAGAAATTCAATTAACGTTTGCAAAATGCAGCAGAACTTGTCGGTCATGTTTCTTTCTTCTACCAACAACAACTTTTACTAACACTGGAAAAGGCTCCCGAAAGGCACCGATTGTCGTATACAGCTGTTAGCTTCATCTACCTATTAAAACACTTCCGCCTTTCTAGGGAATTTCTCTACTTCGCAATATTCCCACCTTTCCTCGTAAGCTTCTAAGCGATCTGAAGTGAAAGCGAAGAACTTTCAGAATATATTCTATTATGGTGTTCAGCAATTGACTTCAGTCCTGACCATACTTCTTATGGTTTCCTTTATTGCTGTTCTCTTATCATTTCACGCATGAACGAGCTTCATAGCGGGCATACTCCTAGCATACTGCCTGTTTACTTTTTGCTGTCAGAAAAAAGTTTTCTAATGGATTGAGATTTTTTTATTTCTTTCTTCTCCAATTTTTTACTGCTCCTTCTAGTTTTCTTTGAAGAAAACTCTGAACTGTTATCCGTTTGCATGAATTTTAAATTGAACTGTCCGCACATCAACTACAAATAAAAGAAATACTTACTTTTGCAAACCGTTGAATATCTGGTAAAAGCTACGAAAGTTTCTTTTTCAGCAGGCCTTCAGGCCTTCAGGAAGGAAATATTTCAAAGCTTATCTACCATAGAGTGCGTGTGGCGCAGTGGTTGGAGGCGCCAGTACGGTACACACGAGGAATTGATCCACGCGTCCATGGCTCGCCAAGCCTTCCATCCCTCCAGGATTGGCGAATTGGTACCAGACTTATCTGGGAGTATACCAGTACTGGCTTGATGCATCGGTAGGCCACCGCGAGTCATTGTAAAGACCAGATATGCATTCAATCACCTCCAACGATGCTTGATGAAACCGAATGCGTAGCGCATTCCCAAGGAATTGATCAACGCTAAGAACTTTACCTTCTTTTGATTCTCTTCTAGTAACAATGTTGTTTTTTGTTAAAGAAAAGAAGGAATTATTAATGAAGTTTGTTACCTACTTCCTCTCGCTTTCATTTCGTGCTTTCTACTATTTGATGGAGGTTTTTACAGTTTATGTTACATTGCTACAGGTGATTGCTTTTCTGGTGAATGAGTACCAATCGCACAATCTCCTCTCGCCGAACCTAGAGCTCTGTAATGTGGAGTCGGAGATTTTTGACGAATTGAAGAAGTTCCAATTTCACATTCCCATTAGGATATTTGGCGGTAGGTGATCGTAGTAATCTCGCTTGACATTTTTATAAGATGAAGAACAAAAATGAGTTCTATCTCTAATTAACTGCTACGATTTTGGCCATCAACTAGTGATGCTTAGTAGAAAACAACGATGAAAGCTTGACACGGGAAAAATCATTTAAGAGATAGAGGGAACAGTAGAAATGTTTAACAAATTCGTATGAAGAGATTGACTACACTGCTAAAACGGCTAGAAAAGAAGCTACTTGATGTTGAGCTGTTTTTCTTGTAAAACTATAATTTTTCTTTCCGAGGGAATAAAAACGACGTAGATATCAATTGTTAAATATTTTGCCTCTTTAAGAGTGCTTTATTTAGTGCGGAATTCATCGCACAACTTATCGTTGAACGATACGATCATGAAAGAAGCACTCGATTACTGGAATTGCCTAAATCGAACCACAAAAGCGAGGTAGTATTGATCTTTAATGATTAATGACTGTCTATTGATTTTTTTACCTTTGCTACTAAGCTCAAGGTGGGGCGACATGGTTTGTTAAAATCGAGATTTCCAAACTTCCAACAGCAGCTTATCTTTATCCTCAGCTAGTTCGTTAAACGATGCGATCTTCCTGGAAACTAATTTTTGCTAGAAGTAAACTCACATCATCGCACAAAGTTGCAGCAATCGTGAACTATCGCTTTTACCGGATATGTGACCTTGCTGATTTTCTGGTGCAAGTACCAAGCCTTCCAACATTCCATACCGAACGTAAAGCTGTTCTCTTCCACGTTCAATGTTCATATAGGTGATGCTTGAGAAAGAAGGTACTGTTTCAAAAACACCGAAGATTTTCCGTCCTATTCGCTTCTTAGCGACCCATTTCATCTTTAAAAAATATTGCACATAAAAGGAGTGTATCTATGCGAGCCTTTTGCAGACAAGTTCGGGATTGATTTAGCAATTCCTGGAAGGATGGAAAACATGGTTGGACACGGTGGGACCGAACCAGAGTGTATCATTGGTATCATAGAGCATCCCTAACGAATGCGCTTCCTATACCCTGTGCCAGAATTATGGGCAGGAAATTTTGTCTCTACTCTTTCTTTTTGAAGCGTTATGTTGAAAAATACGTTATTTTTAGCTACAGCGACATAAAACTGAAATCTTTCGCGAGTTTCTATCAAAGAAATACGTGGTAACAGCAAGGGATAATAAAGACGGTTGACGCGTTCCCGAAATGTTGTCTTCCCGATTTTTTGTTCTTTTTTTAAACTATGGTTATAGCAACTCTTAAGACCGACTTTCAATAAACCTCGACGTAAACAGTCGTTTTATTTACTCATATGTTTTTATGAACTGATCTTAGTGAAGCTTGCGCGAGGTTGGTATAAGTTTTCGTTGTTGTTGTTGTTGATGTTATTGCTGTTGTTGTTGTACCTGTTGTTCTTGATTGATGGTTGGCATTTCGGCAATTTCGCCTTCCTCAGAGCCGTGCTGTTACGAGTGGGACCCCCACAACAACAGCAACAGCTTATATCAGTCTCGCATCAGCTCAACATTATCAATTCGTAAAATAAAAGGGATAAAGCTCTTGTCGTTGATCAATCTTTGAGAAATGCGCCATGCATTCGACTTCATCAAGCGTCGTTGGAGGTGATTGAATATCTGGCCTTTACAATAACTCGCCGTGGCCTACCGATGTATTGAACCAGCGCTGCTATCCTCTCAGACAAGTCTGGTGCCAATTCACCAACACCGGAGGGATGGAGTGGTTGGTGGGCCTGGAGCTCGGAGACCGATCGCATGTGTACTGCAGGACGCTTCCGACTACTGCACCATACGCGCCCTATAACAATGTGTGAATAAATATGGTACATTAGTCGACACAATCAATATTTCGGAAAAGCAAATCGTTTTCATGGTAGATATGTGTTGCTGCTCGAAGACGATGCTTTGGTAGTACCTAAATTTGCCGAAATGATGGCATCACTTTTGAAGCAGTTGGATCAGCGCCAAGAAATCGACTACGTGAAAATGTACCATCCAGGTCATCTACGGAAAATCCCGTCAATACCAATGGTAAAAAGATCTTTTATTTACGCAGCGCTCTTCATTGTTGTTAAGAGTTTGTATTAATTGAAAAAAACGATTTAGGCTCTCATAATATCGTGTGCAGTATGTTACATTTACCAAATTATCGTAATTCGCCGAGTATCGACTTTTTGGTTCATTGTTACTTCTGTGCTTATGTACTGCGAATTAGGCTCCTATGGCTTTCAGGTGAGATAAAAGCAGATTTACGGACGCGTTTTCTTCTTTAACAAGAACAGTTTAAAAATATGTGGGACAGTCTTAACCTTTTTATTTACTGCCTATTCTTTTTAGCAGCGGAGTATTTTGCGAAATATAACTGTTATAATGCTGAGATATTTCCAAAACTCCGGACCGCAGAACTAGCTGAGAGACAGGCGAAATGAAGGACCCGCATGGTGTGGTAGTGAACGCGTTACTCCCCGGAAAGGTAAATAGCGCGTTCGTTCCCCACCGCAGACACCTGCGTTCCGGAGTTTTGCGAATATCTCAGCATTATAGTATGTGGTACAGTTTTCCTAATGAACCTACATTCTGTTGAAATTCGCAATGTCGTCCGTCAATAGTTAGAGAAACGTAGAGAGAAAAAGGGTAGAAAAGACAATCAATACTTTGTACGTTTTTCATCAGGTTAAAAAATATTTGCCGCGTTTCGTAGCTCCCATGCCCCCGGTGCTCTGACAATATTCAGAATCTAGTCGACATTATACCACAAGCATCAAATCCCTTTTAAAATTTTCAGTAAGGTAGCTCATACGTTCTAAACCAGTTTATCTTTACAGTCTAAAGTAATTACCTTGCATGATTTTATTGCAAAACTGTTGAACTAGCCACCATGTGAAATGGGAACAAGCATTTTGCCGTTGTTATAAGATTGCTTAGGCAAATCATGCAGTGGTTAGGGGTCTTCTGGCACACAGATGTGGTCGCTAGTTCGACCCAACACCATCGGGCCTACTAGGCTTTCCATCCTAAGGCGATGGCCAAATGAGCACCAGACCCTTGTTAGAGGTATAAACATTGACTTGATACGTCCGTAGGCCACTGTAATTCATTATATAGGCCTGATATGGCCATTTCTAGTACTCGTTAATGGATTTGCATCCTTATGCCCTCTTTTGTAGTTTCATCAACACCATATTCTTTATCCGTTCATGAGATATTGGTTAGTCGCTCAATCTAAAACCTTAACAAATTCGATTTTCTTCAGTTCCTAGCTGATCTCCGTTACTACGTCACTGACACGGTCTACATGAGCATGGCGGAATCGTGTTGTACACCCGCGGTACTGTTTCGGGCCCAAAAAATTCCACAAATCGTCGATCGATTATCGACCGAGAGCAGGAGAAGTGCAGCTGAAGGAAATGCAAAAGACCATATTCTGGACGAATCACCATTTATTGGACGTCAAACGGACACAAATCTTGTCGTACACATTGGTTCAATGAGTTCCATACGTCATCGACGGATAACGTTAGACGAAGTACTTTTAGTTGAAAGTCGTAAAAATCATTGATTAAAAATCGTACAAAGTGTATGTTATTTCTCATGATCATAGAAGATTTTTCGGTAGTCGTCCTCGTAGGTTTCAATAGCGATTTTACAAGATTGTTTCGTTATTATTCGTTAATAGAGTTAAAAAGGAGTGTACTTTTTCAGTAGCTGCTTTCTTGATAGTTGAATGAGCTGTCCTCACTGGTTGTGCGGGCCCCATCATAACCTTCATTTTTAGCAGATTTTCTGGCTAAACCATTGTGGTTTCCTGGAATTTGGAGGTCAGCCTGGCCAAAGTCTGCTCCAGGTCTTCACCACCACAGGCAGTCGCAACCCTAATGGATTAGATGAACATTTTCCACCACGCGACATTGATACGAGGACGGTGGTCGATTCTGGTATTGGTTTGCTCCTAGCTAGACTTCCTGACGGAAACGCTGGAATTACTTTTTCACTAACTGAATCAAATGCATCCCGCCTTAGAAGGTGATGTTATCAAAGGTCCTGTACATTTTTTTGGGAATACGGATATTTTAGAGGATGGGAAAAATTATTTCGAAAACAAAACAAAGCCTCAAAAAATTCTGTGATAGTGCATGCTTTTCGTATTGATTGCCATATGTTCTTTTCCATAAAACTCAATTTTACCCGACATTTTTCCATGCTTCAAATCCTCTCCTACTACAGCAACATTCATCCATATGGGGTAGCCTGTCTTTAACCGGGTAACAGTCAGTGTTGTGATAATTTTATGAAGTGATTTTATCGATGTGCCTTTTATGCATGCCTGATTTGTTAACATACGGAAAATTGCTCTTGCTTTTCTTTAATCATAAACACCGTTCGGGATAAAGGTAATAGATTTGTATGTTGGTTTACATTGATGTTTCTTAACGTCTTCTCGGAATCATGATTTTCAGGATTGTATTCTATGCTTTGTAGTTTCGGATGTCACACAGTAAGCTAGCAGTTAAGGTGATTTTTTTAAAAAGTGTCATTTACCTGTCACCTGTCACCTGTGGTCCAGTTAATCATCGTCGAGTGACTCGAGCGGGCGCCAGTAAACCTTCCATTTTTCCATGTCGCGTTGAAGAGTAGCCCAGTAGGTTCTGCTTCTTCTTGGAAATGTTTCTGATAAAGAGTATGAAATTTTTTACAAAATTATTAGCTACAATATAATTAACTGCGAAGGTAGATTCGGAACAGAATATAGTGTGCCTCTACAAAGAAGTCTGCCAGGTATAAATTCAATCACCTCCAACGATACTTAATGAAAGCGAATGCAAAGTGCATCTCTCAGAGATAGATCAACGCTGAGAGCTTTATCCATTTGTCCTTTCACTAGTTCTTAAGCAGGCGATAGAAAATGATCGGTGAGTCAGCACACCTTGTTTCCTGCGGCGTTTTTCACTTTTTTTCCTTCAAAAACTTAAAAACGGCTATTTTGTAGGGTTTGCTTATAGTTCTCATGGTGTTCTTCTTTCATTTTTCCATCTGAGAATTTGAACATATCTTTAGGCATGGCGTATGAAAAGTGCACCTATTAAGATTAATACGTGCTTATATTGTTGTGCTTACATGAGGTTGATAACGATGTTTATTCGGCTAACGTTTGCACGGTTTCGTCTTCATTACAGCCAATAACCCGAGTCGATGGTCCACTCCACAGTTGTTAGTGTTCTCGAGGTGGCGTCTTCGTCACCCATTGAACCGGATCTTCCTCAGTAGAGCTTCTCGAACGAGCCATACTCACCCGGCGATGCTCTTTTATGCAGGGTGGTTGCTGTTGATAATAATTTGTTTTTCAACGGATGATCCACCCTACAGCAGTCGGTATTATGTCAGCTAGGACATAGCGAATAGCAAAACGATGATTTTGCAACAGACCGTCATTTAACCTCGGTCGCAAAATAATCATCATGTGCTCATATCTATTAAGATTGTTGAAGTTCTGGAAGGTTCCACATTTAACAAAGGGTGGAAAATAGCCAAATAAAACCGCTTCGTTTTTTTGTACGAAAAGAGGAAAAAGACTGACTTGACTTCAATTTAATCGCTGCTCGCTGCGATAATTGACGAAAACGGTTTGCAGAAGTCTTTAGGTGTGGGACAAAGCGAAACAGTCCACAATCAACACACAAATTATAGAACAAATAAAATCCAGCTCGAGAGAAGATTGAACTCTCACGAAGAAGCTGAACGAATCAAAATACATAGATTAAGAAGATGAATGGCAAGAGGCCAAATCGTAGCAGAGAGACTGATATATAGAAGTGAAAGCATCTTGGACGTACCCGACCAGGTCCAACTCCACTTACGCTGACAGGGAACGTCCGATGCATGACTGATGCGGTTTGGTTAGTTGTGGAGATTCTAGTGATTCATCTGAATCTGATCACGGTCATCAGATAGCCGCTTCCAAGAGGGAATCGCATTTTAAGCCTTACGTACATTTATATGAAATTCTTTTTTGATGTCCCGTGGAATGAAAAAATTTCTCCTAGAAATTTATGACATATAACATATACAACACAGAGCAAAGCACATAGCATAGTTACTATATAACTAGAGGCGCGTGTGGCGTAGTGGTTGGAGGCGCCCTGCAATACACACGCGGAATCGATCCCTACGCCCGTGGCTCACCAAGCTTCCCATCTCTCCGGCGGGGTATAACACTGGCTGGATACATCGGTAGGCCACCGCGAGTCATTGTAAAGGTCTATGCATTCAATCACCTCCAAACGATGCTTAATGAAGTAGAACCCACTGCGCATCCCTAAGAGATTGATCAACGCGGAGAGCTTTAACCATTTTTTTGTTTATTACATAACTAACTCTAGTCAAAAATTGCCTTTTCTGAACTTATAAGAAACTGGTCTTGATAAAACTAACAAGTTTCAGATCGAAACGGAAGTCATGTAAGTGATACGTTGTCCACAACTCAAACGGAAGAACCGCTTCGCCTCGAAAAAAAGGCTCTCGTAACCGAGAGCTGCTAATGTTTTTACATGAAATAAAAACTAACATGTGAAATGAGCGAGAATGAGGAGAGCTTTAGGCACTCGGCTTCAAACGCTTTAGGAGTCAGCAATGAAAACCAAAGAAAACTTTAGAGGAAGCAGTTCAAAGTGTGCATATTGAGCGATGTAATTCTACACTATTTATTTCCAGACTGTATAGAACTCAACGTACACGTTATTCTGGCGACTTATTGAAACATTATGGGGAAAGAATTCCAAAGATTAATAGGAAGGTTTGTCATTAATTCCTTCTTGCCATTCATGGCTAAACGAACTGTACTTCTACTGTAAACCATTATGCGCGTTTCTGTTTACAGCTCAGATTCCTAAGCAGGTTAAACTGCAACCATCGAAATACTTTGCTAATGTAGCAACATGGCACTAACTACATCAGCGTTCGAGCTTCTTAATAATTCATCTAAACCTCTCACGTAACCACCAGCTCAACAGTTCGAAAAGATGTACTGATTAAGCATGCAGCGGTTAAGCGAAAGTCGATTTAATTTCACTAATATTTCATTATTTGAAAGCTATTCTAATACCGATTGCTGCTAGATGGATTGTCGACGTGAAAAGAATTCATCATCAGTCAACAATCAGGTGACAACCATCCTGCATAGAAGCCAACGGGTAAGGCTGCCTCTTTTGAGCGGTGTTCCACTTGTAAAGATTTGACTCAATCCAACGAAGGAGCCACTTTGAGAAAACGAACGACAGTGGAAATCGACCCGGGTCGTCGGCTGTGAAGAAGAAGATGTGGAAAGGTTAGACGAATAAAACTTTTAAAACAACTCTGTGTAAGTTGAACAATTCACGGAGGTATTCTAATAACTCATGCAAACGTTTTTGGTGAACATCGAGTAGAAGATACTTTTATCAAGTGAACTGAAAAGGCCGATTTTCTATAAACCTCGGCATAAATAACAAAATAAGACGTCAGCCGTCAACTAACATAGACAACAGCAACAAGAGCAACAACAAAAACAACGACAGCAACCACAACAGCAGTAACAGCAACAACAGCAACTTCAATGATGCTGAGTTATTTGCAAAACTCCGGACCGCAGGTGTATGCGGTGGGGAACGAACGCGCTATTGTCCTTTCCGAGTGTAACGCGTTCACCTTCACACCATGCGGGTTCTTCGTTTCGCCTCTCTCTCAGACGGGTGATTGCTGATGGCAAATGGTCGATAGAACTAGCTGAGAGACAGGCGAAACGAAGGGCCCGCAGACACCTGCGGTCCGGACTTTTGCAAATATCTCAGCGTTATAGAAGTTATATTTCGCACTATACCCTACCATTAAAAAGAATAGGCAGTAAATAAAACGGTGAAGATTATTATTATAACAACAACAACAACAACAACGACAACTATGCCAACCTCGAATCAACTCAATAAGATCAGATCATAAGAACATGTAAAAAGGTACCAAATAAACTGTTATGTTGTCGAAGGAGTTGGTGGAGATACTACTAATGTATTCGAGTATACAAGGAAAGGTACGTGAGAACTTGTACCGATTCATGAACTCCGGAAGTCTCCACAACCCACGTGACCATGAAATTCAGTTATCATTATTCTCAACGCATTCACTGGTTTTTAAGGAACCTACTAACTTCTTCGTTCTTTCTCTGCCGGATACTACGTGGTAAAATTTTTCCGTAGTTTCTGAACAAGGGCAAGCTTTCCATTAGAAAGTTGTTCTTTGAGGTCTTTAAGCCTGCGCGAATCTCACTGAATATGTGTACGACACGAGTATCACCTGTCGTCCTACTGATCGTCGAGGGACTCGAACGAGCCTCCAGTAAATCCTTCACTTTTGCCTATCTTTTGCAAGAGTAGCCCAGTGGGTTCTACTCGCTCCAGAGGCTCGTTGATCATCATATCTTCTTTCCAAGGTTTTCGTGAAGAAATCTGTTCATCCGTTCAGTTGCATTACTGCAGTACATTTGACATTAGGAGAAATCCAGTCACTAACAGCTCTTGCTCATCGGTTGTC